CCGTGTTATTTAATTTTCTTTATGTATCCTAATTGAGCCAAAGCAACCAATGCGCTGCTCTTATCTTCTTTCAAAGCAAAGACTTTATTATAGCACAAATATTTAGGATCAATGTTCAGTTCAGAAGACTTGTTTGGTATAATGACCTCTTCATAATGATAGATAGCTTCTATTTCTATGATATTCTCAACGTCTTGGGGCAATTTATCTGTCAATTTACTTAATTAAATCAATATATTTTTTAAATGGTTCTCGTTTATTAAATCAAAATTCAAACTAGTACTATCACATAGATATGAAACCAAGATCTCATGACCTTTGATTTAGTCGCAATATTCTTTCGCTTTGCACAGTTGGTTTGAGCTTGCTTCGCAATTTGGCTTTGGTGTCAGAGACCTTTGAGAACTTAACCAGTCTTACAATAGTAGGTATGGCAATTTATAACACCGGGCAGTTGACTGGATTTATTCGTAAATGTTTCGCCGGCGTCTTCAGTGAGATCCAGCAACCCTATCTCGAGAAATACTTTCACTTGTCACTTTGACAATTTGTGGCTCGGTGCTAAGAATCGCATATCTGACTGAAGATGCCGACTACAATATTGGCGAAACATCTAGTCACGGTCCGATTATGGAGATTATCATGTATTCTATGGCAAGGGGCGCTGGACAAGTTACGCTATTCGAGGCCTCTGCAAACTCAAGTCACGAAAACAAGGTCAGAGGAACTTGGCCATATTGTTAGGGAGACTTAGAGGAACGAACCTAGTCCGGAGTCCATTGTATGCATGATTATTTCCAGAGTAGGACCATGGACGTGGTACATTCCCAGACGTTTCGCCGGCATCGTAATCGGCATCGTCAGTGCATCTCGCAATTCGTAGCATCATATTACAACTCGTCAAGGAGACAAGTGATGCCGATCCTTTGACCAAACGTGTGCCCACGCGTGATTATGCATCTTCTCTCAATAACTTTGCGAGATATTCCTCAATTGTCCTATTTTTATAATAGTTTTGGGTGGAATTGTGTGGATTTAGGAAATTTCTAAATCCTGCTTCTATAGTATATCATGTGTAGGTACCCTGGACAAAAAATATATTTTACTCCTAAACTTTTATTGATAGTATGAATGTTAATTGATCGTGGCTTATTCTTGCTTTACTCTCCTCCAGATATTTAGAGTCTCTGCCCAGCCAATCCCCTTCCACCGACTACACGCTTCCTATTCGCTGCATTGAGTCTGTTCTTTTGATCAGGCCAGACTCTAATTGTCTTTTACCTGCACAGAATTTAGCCATCATAGCTGGTCTGCATCGCTTCTGCCGAAGGCTTGTACTGCCCGAGGCCGGGCTATACTTTCGTGCTTTAGCATCCTTTATCGATCTCCAGACACCCCCTATGGCTGGTTATTTCACATCCAGTCTTCCAAGTGGTACTTCTGCAGGCTGGGCTGAACAAGAGGTGGCTGAGAAGCATTTCGATGCCTGCGAGTTCCTGCGGCCTACTAAGACTCGAGCTATGGTGAATCTGTTTCTTGCTCCGCTCCAATTGCCCTCTGTGCCAGCGTCCTCATTACAACCCGCAGCATTATGCATTACTTCGACATCTGTGGATGAGGACGCCTTTCTTATTTCCGCATTGAATGGTATCCTGCTGCCTTGGCCTAGGTATCGCCATCTAATCAGTGCCCGGATC